ATTTTTTATTTTTTTTTCTTTTGTTTTCTTTCTTTCTGTTTTCCTGTTGATGGCAGTTGGAGCACGGCTAGCAGGGAAGAAACGAGATAAAACGGAAAACTGTAAAAAAAAAAAAAAAAACAGAGAAAGAAAACGAAAAAACGACGCAATTGCCTCGTGGCAGGGACTAGAACAGTCCTTGGGACTGTGTGGGAGCACATAAGCTCCCACTTCATTTTCTTGCCCAACTCACTGTGGCCACGAGATCTTGAATCTCGCGGCCCAAAGTACTCGCGTGGAAGAGAGAGAGAGAGAGAGAGGGACATGGGAATTGGGAGGGGGAGGACCTTCTCCTCCCAACCTGCCCACTGCCTTCCCCGTTTTCAGGGCAGGGAAGAGAAAAGTGAGGGGTGGACTGTTGTAAGCAACTGCATGAACCTGGCCGAATAAATGGTCAGGCGCATGCAGTTGGATTAGTTTTATTCTTTTCCTTTTCTTTTTGTTTATTTCTGTGAGGACACTTGTCCTCACGTAGTGCTACCTCTGGCAGAAGCTGCCAGAGGTAACTGTCAGGCTCCCGTTTTTGCAGGGAGCCTGAAGATTGAAGTGCCACTAAGGGAAAGGCTAGGTGCAGCCTTTTCCCCGATGTATCTGCCCTGGAAAAAGGGTCCGGATACATCAAACTGAAAAGGGTTGTATCTTTTCAACCCTTTATCAGAAAAATAAAAGAAAACCAGATTTGGAAATGGCAGGAGCCCAGCTATCTCGCCAGATTCCGAGATAGCTGGGAAAAAGAAAAAATAAAATAAAATAGGGCAGTTAAAGAAACTGCCCCACTCTAAGGTTGTGGCTGTGGTGTGGCCACAGTCAACCCTGGATCCTGGCAGATCAAGGGCTCACAGTGAGCCCGCGATCTTACCTTGGGGCTGGAGTTACGTCTAACCCTCCTCAACCAATATAAAACAGGCACTGCCCCCCAGCTGCCACACAATGCACTCGTGTTGCCAGTGTGGGACGAGCACACTTGAGTGTTGCTAGCTGTTGCAGCTGCTGCCTGAGGCAACGTGAGGAGAGGCTGGAGGTCTGCACAGGAGCGCAAGGAGGAGATCTGGGCAGCCATAGCCAAGGCAGGGGGCACTGTGCTCCCCTCCCCTCTAGCTGGTGCTGGTCCCAGGGGACAGACCCAGTGGCGTTGCGGGACTACGACAGTACGGCACAGTGAAATTTGGGCCTGGGGCCCAAATTTTACTAGTTTTCGCCTGCTGTTTTTTATTGCGGTAGTACGAAAGTGCTTTCGAAATTCTGCAGCGGCAACACGGCTTTTTACGGCAGCGGTACGGAAGTGCTGCCGAAATTTTGCGACAGTAACGTGGGCTTTTACGGCAGCGGTACGGAAGTGCTGCCGAAATTCTGCGGTGGAAACGCGGCTTTTTACGGCAGCGGTGTGAGCAAACCCGGGGAGGGGGCCCTGTTCGTCGCTGAAGCCAGGGACAGCGATGCCTGTCACTCGTCGTGCCCACTTTAGAGGTCCTCAGCGGCGATCAGGGAATGAGGGGTTGCGTTGCCTATCACGCGACCTTCTTTCAACTAGGTTGAAACCTCCCTTCCGCAAATTTAGAACTGACAATTTCTAAACAACAATCAATTAAACCTATCCAGCCTAGAGGCTAGAGATCTGAACTTGAACCTGGGAGATCTTCCAATTTTTCAAGTTTGTTGAAAATCTTCCCTCTCCCTTTTCTCAAATTTCATTCACTTTCAAGTGTACGGTGCACCTGCATAGACCTCCCCTTGGTTTTGACAGATTAGTGGGTTAACCTGGTGAACAGCACATGTCAGATTTGTGGGTCCCCACCGTCAATCCTGGATCTGACTCACGGTGTGTTACTACCAAGCTTGAATCCCCGAAATCATCGAAGTAGGTTCTTCCTTTGGATTAGTGGAATGGAGAACCTGATGCAGACGGTTGGTCATTCACACCCTCCTTATTAGTTAGTAGCTTGGCAATGCAACTTTTCACGGTCACCCACCCCAAAGTGAAATCAGAATAAGCGTGTCCTTACAAGTCATTTGATGAGAGAAGAAATGAATGGTCACCCTGGACATGAACAAATACACAGCCACGTTCCTTATGTGTAGTGGACTGGAGTTTTAGCCTGGAATGAATCCCCAGTAGAAGCATGGAAAGATACTTTGGAATAATCTTTAATTGTCCAAAATCAATCTTTCAACAGATAAAGCACTGGAAGGTGCTTTGACACTTCCTCCCACCAGCTGTAACGTTCGTTCTATGCTCGTGCTCTCCGGTATCATTTTTCACACTCTCTCCCACCCTCTGCGTGACCGTGCACATCATGCCGCATTCCTGATTTTTTGTTTACCGGATGAGCAATCACAGTAAGGCTCCGCTGATGACCGGGGACCAAAACATCAAATGTGATCACTTGCCCGTTCCTTTACTTGCAAATCAAACACGAACACGTCCCCCCCAATGATGGAGTTCATAGCAAGTTCGAATAGTCTGTTGATTGGCTTCATTGAGAGGCTTTGTTGATTGGCTCTGTTGTGACCTCTTTTCACAAACAGTCACGCTAACCAAGGGGCCTGTCCCTCTCTCACTGACTCGTTTACTCTGGGTCTCTTACTCTCTCACCCCTCTTTCTCTGTGTCACTTATGCCACGAACTTCACTTCTCTTCGTGTGATTTCTCTTTCGCTATCGAGTTCCTTCCTTGCTGCGTGTTCACACTTTCGCTGAATACTCCTTTTCCTTCTGCACTCTCACAGTTTTCCTGCGCTCTCTCTGACTCTCTGCACGCTCTCAGCTTTATCTCCGCACTCCCTGGTCCCTTTTGCGCTCTCTCTCTCGCTCTATCAACGCATACACTTTCTTCTCTACCAGCGCACCTCCTTTTCAAGTTTGAATGTATCTGGCTGAGCCTCCAGCCAGGTACACCCTCCCTTTTGAGTGCTTTTAACAAGCCATTTCGCTGGCCAGGTGCATCCCATGAATCCCTATTACATAGTGTAACAAGCCAAAGTTATTCCACGCCACTCGATGTCACTACCTATCTACTACCCACCTCTTTTGACACACCTTATGCTACATATCCAGCCTTGGCTCAAATCATGCCAATTACATGCCTCTGAACACAGATGACCACCTATAAGGGCATCCATGACCCACCTTCACCTATTGCCCAATATAAGGGCATCAATTATCCACTATCACCTATTGCCCAATGAACTGTTATTTTTACAAGGAAGTTGTTCCACTCCATACGCTGTCTGAAAACGAATTGACCGAGCACACAATATAAACAGGGCAGCACTCCTACATATCCAGCCATGGCTCAAAATCATTCCAATTACACACCTCATGAACCATTCCAATTACACACCTCATGGCATGGCGCAAAGTCATGCCAATTACACACCTCTTTATCTACTACCCTAGCCTAGCTTTTGTGCGTAGCCGCCCAGAGTCGCCCAGCAAAAGTTTCCTTCCCGTCATGCTCAAACAGATTTCCACCATCAGGCCAGTCCAAGTCCAAAGCCACAAAGTCTGTCTCAAAACGAATTGAGCAAGCACACAATACCAACAGGGCAGCACTCCTACATATGGCATGGCTCAAAGTCATGCCAATTATACACCTCTTTATCTACTACCCTAGCCTAGCTTTTGTGCGTAGCCGCCCAGAGCCGCCCAGCAAAAGTTTCCTTCCCATCATGCTCAAACAGATTTCCACCATCAGGCCAGTCCAAGTCCAAAGCCACAAAGTCACCCAATTGCAAAACAGGCCAGGGGGACGTCACAGCAAAGGTGGCAATCTTGTCGGCACACGGTACCTCTCCAAATCTAATCACCTATATTCCCTAACTATTAGCAATGATGTCGTACTAGTATCCTCACAAAGAGGTCACTCTCTCGGATTAGCTCTCACGCTTCCAATCACACAACGTGGGCGGGGTCTATGGTCACTACCAGGGATTCCTTGTACTTTCCCGCCCAGAGCTAGTTCCACAACGCCACCTCACTCACGCTTTAGCAGGCTTGCGACGCAATCGGGAGGTCGAAGTCGTGTCGTGGAGGATGGGACACAGAATACGCGACGTGTATCTTCCTGTCTGGCGCGGCCCTCGGAACCATGTCTCAGGATCAGTGACAAAGGAGGGGTGCGTAAATCTCTTATTCTCTGGCAGGCGCTTGTTATGGAGAGCGAGATTCTCCACAGTCTCGTTGTGAGTGGTGGAAGTCTTGTCAGGGTTCGGCAGGTCTAACCGTCTCTAACGTCAGTGGCTCCAAGTCAATCCAACAGAACAAGGGATCTGTCGCTTGAGCAACGTGCTTCCGAGATTCCGCTTGGAGCATAAAACAATATGCTCTCAGACTGTCATCCGAGTTTGACCTTATCAGCAATCGAATCGCCGACACTCCTTTCATTGGCAGGATCTCGCAATCAGCGCCCGAACATTTCTCTGCCATTGCCATCGTTTTTTGCATGGAAGGATGCCTTGCGAACTTGAGGAAAGGTATGGTCGGCGTACGATCATCTTCTAATGGTCGACGCAGCACGATTTGAAGCTTCATTTCCCAAATGCGGAGAGAAGGTTAACAACAGTCGTATTTTTCATCACCACTTCAGGACACCCTTCACCACTTCAGGATGCAGCCTGCCTAAACAAGTGGTTTTCAGGGTCTTCGGACCTTTCACCACTTCATGACCATTCAGGTCTGAAAATCCTGAACGATCCTGAAGTGGTGAAAGCTCCGAAGACCCTGAAAACCACCTGTTTAGGCAGGCTGCATCCTCAAGTGGTGAAAGGTGATTTTCATGGTCTTCGGACCTTTCACCACTTCAGGACCATTCAGGATTTTCAGGCTGCCCAAAACTCTCACTTGACGACTTCAGGACACCCTTCACCACTCCAGGATGCAGCCTGCCTAAACAGGTGGTTTTCAGGGTCTTCGGACCTTTCACCACTTCAAGACCATTCAGGATTTTCAGACTGCCCAAAACGCTCACTTCAAAATTTTCATTCCTGGATTTTCAGCTACCCGATAACCACTTGTGCAAATGCGGAGTACCATAGGAACAATGCGAAGTCGGTCCTGTGCTTGGAGCTCATCAAATTTCGCATCTAGCAGCAGCATTCGCCTGACGTGGATATCGTTGAAAACTCTGTTCTCTTCCTCTTGTTGTATTGGACCCGGATTTTCCTCCTCCTCTTCTATCCTCTGATACTCCATCAATTCCATATCATCTATCTGTACTTGCTCTATCTCCTTTAGCCTCTGTACTGGACAGGAGGGGTGGGAGAGCTGCTAAGGACGAGGGGATTGGCCCATGTCGTGCCAGGTCGAGGAACTATCATCTCTTCGCTAAACTTATCAGCAGGGGCAGGGGCAGGAGGGGCAGGGGCAGGGGCGGGAGGACCGGTGGGTAGGGTTCCTCCGCCGGGGCATTCAGGAGGGGCTTCTGTCGTTTGGCCTTTTCAGCCTCTTATGTACTCACGTCCTGGTCGGATGCCGCACTCTGGGCAATCCTCGTCTTCTTCCTTGATTTTTCCCTCTTCCTGCCCAACCAAACATGTTGAGGTTCCTCCATGCCCTCATCCCAGAGCGATTCTATCTCTTTCCTAGCGTCAAATTCGAGTTGATCTTGATTCTGCAATTGGCTCGTCAGTGGCTGTAGAGCATGAGGTGGTCGGGTCTGCTCCAATTGAAGATCGTTCAGTCCTTGGAGAATCTGGTCCTGCGTCGGCCGGCTGGGGTCTTCGTCTCTCTCGACAACAATTTTTTGGCCTTCATCGGTCGCCAGTGTCGTAGCATCGTGAGGGCCTTCGTTGACTTCTTGTCTCTCTTCCCGCCCCTCTTCAGGGGCAGTCTTCCGAGCCTCCCCGCTCACCAATAGGTTTCCGTTATTGGTAGCGTGGGGGCCGCAGTCAGCCGTCTGTCTCTGTTCTCTGTCTTCCAGCAAGGATCCAGAGCACTCCTGCAGCCAGCCGCCTTTCGTCAACCCTTGCAGCGGTTTTGACTTCCTATCTGTCCCTGTTAGGGTTTCATCATCCATCCTCTTTTTTTGGCTATCACCCACCAATCCCGCCGAGGGTATTACTTGCTGGCTTGGGCCTTGTCCTTCCTTCAATTCCAGCCGCTCGCTCCGCCGCTCGCTCCCCTGCTTTTGTCCAACTTCTTCCTTCTCTCCATCTGAGCCCACTTCCATATCACTTTCCACTGTCTCAGCCTCCTTCTCCTTCATGGAGCGGGGCCGGTCTTGCCGATCTCCGGTCTCCAGTTTATCCTTACTCATCTGCGCAGCCGCCTTTTCCGTCGTCTTCTCCGTCGGGGCCGATTGTCTCGTGCTTTTGTCAGCTTGCATGCCGCTCTTCTTTCCGCAGGATGCTTGGTCTTCGTCCATTTGTGTGTCCTTGATTGTTGCCTCGTGCGGCGCCTGCTGGCCAGCCAGGCCATTGTCGTGGCGAGTTTGCTTCACGTCTGTAGTCCTCCCTTCCTGCGTTTTCGGCGAGCCAGGTAAGTCAGGCAACGCGGCGTCCGGTGTTTTACCCCGCCCCTGCATCTGCTGTTCCACGTGGCGCTGTCGAGGTTGTGTTACTTTCTAGCCCGTTTCCAGTCTCCGATGCGATTGCTCGGTCGCCCCGCCTCGAGGTACTCGGGTCTGCTGTCCAGGGAGGTAGGGTGCATTGCCCACTTCCTTGACGTCTCCCAAGCTGTCATTCATGACGATCTCGGCGAAGATGATCTGGTCAAACTCTCTCTAATTGTGAGCCCATGCCTCTATCTCCGTGTGTTCATCGTTCGGCAATCCCGGGTCCCTCCTGAGTCGCTCCTCTCGGCTGGCCATCTCTTCTTTCGTTTCTGCGGGCGTGAGGCATCTGGCAACTCTCGCCAAGTGTCCATGCCTGTGACAGTGTTCGCACCATGGCGTTTCGCTCGTGACGCATCTGACCTTTGGACGTCCATAATATGCCTGCGCCACTGCCAAGCGTTCTAGGGCTTGGCTTCTCAGTGGTGGATGCAAATCGAAGCGGACGGATTCCTTGCCTTCTGAGTCTATCGTCCACTTTCCTTGTTCATTTTTGACTGCTCCAAAGAAGGCTTCGGCAACTTGCTTGAGGAAGAGAGCCACCATAGGAGAGGGCTGCACAAATTTGACCCAAGGATTTGCTCGCCTCTCCTGAAGCTTCGTCCACTCGAGCTCCTTGGGGGCCATCCACGGCGTGAATCGAATGTAGCGTATTCTATCTCCCACTGCGATAGCCTCCCGTTGTTTCTCGTAAATCAGCCAATTCCACAAGTCTGCCGTTGGTGCCCAATAGAAGGCGGCGGTGCTGCCTTCAAGTGTCAGCCGCCCCGAGTGTCCCCCTTGGCCCTTATCCGGCCAACTTCTTGTTTCCCAATCTTTGACCCATTCCATTTTCGTTTTAGGAGTGAAATCTTTTAGAGGGTCGTCAAAGCACATAAGGATAACATGCGCGCGTAGGTATGTGATTTGCGCCTTGGCCACTTTTCACCTATCCACAGCGTACACTCCCCGTCTTCATAGTCGGTGAGGTTCGGCTTACCCGGAGCCTCCGGTTCCCGCTCCTGCTGAGGTTGAGTCCTCATGGCGGTGGCCATCGCAGTCGCGTCTAGTCCTCCCCACTTTCTCTCTCTACTTTAGTCACAGTCTGCTCGTCGGCAGAATCCGATGAGTCGGTACTCGTGTAATACCCTAATCTACCCGGGTTACGGGGCTGTCTTCGCGAGGAAGATGGCGCCTCTTTTCCGGCAATCGGCTCGCTAAGATACAATCTATCCCTATCCGTCGTCGGCAGAACGACCGGAGCCTTGCCTTTGGCGTGGTTTTCTACTTTCTCGGAAATGGTAGGTTGGGTTCTACGTCGTCGCCGCCGTCGGAGAGGTGGTGATCGATTTAGGGGTTCGGTTGACACTCGAGGCCCTACGGAGTTCGGGAGGGGGGGGCGACTCGGTTGTACCCGTCTTTCTTGTGAGGAGGAGGTCGGGTACTGGTTCGCCTGCCAGGTGGGGTCAAACGCCCGCAACCATCTCTCCTCCTGCTCTATCCTATACCGCAGCCAGCTAGTCTGGGCTTCAAGCCTACGCTGCTCGCGTCTCGTCAACCATCGTGCCACAGTCGAGGCCCAGATTTGTTGAATCCCTCCTCTACGCCCTATTTCCACGCACACCGCCAACGCAGCCAGCCAGTCAATCCATCATCCCGTGGTCAGCAGATCCCACTAGGTAATCACCTTGCTCCCTATCCAAAGGATTTGTCTACAGCAGATGTACGCCAACGTCCAGGTAAGGATTAGCAGTGCACATTTTACCTATGTCCACAATTACAATTCGCCAGGCTTGCGCTAAGGCTGCCCATAAGGCTGTAACAAGCCTATGAATTCCATCCGCCTGTCTTGCTAACATCCATCCCAAAATCAACAAAAACACCACCCATATCCTCTCCTCGTCGCCCATATAATCTCCGTCAAGAGTCAATCACTCGTACTCTGATCGTTCATCTTCTCCGCCCAACTGAGCGCCGCTGTCCCACACCAGCTCCCTAGCTGCCTGCTTCTAACAATTTTGTCGTTAGTCTCCGCTTGTTACTTCTCCGCCCAGCTAAGCGCCGCTCTCCCACACCAGCTTCCTCGCCGTCTAGTTCCAACAGTTTCGTCGTCGATCTCCGCTTGTTAGCGTTTTTCTATTCTCTTCCTATTAGAGCTCCAATCACGCCTCACCTGCGCATTTGAAAGTTCTTTCTCCGCTCGGCTGGGCGCCGCTTATCCCTCACTTCTTGTCCTCTCGCTTTCCCACCTCCACTCACATATCAGTTCTCCATCTTGCGCCCTGGATACTTTTTTCTCCGCTAAGCTCAGCACCGCTTATCTCCCACTTCTCGTCCTCTCACTTTCCCACCTCCACTCGCTTGTCAGTTCTCCATCTAATCTTCTTCCGCTTCCTTTCCGGCGGTCTTCCAGGTAGGGCTTTCTTCCACTGTCCTCTGCTCTGCATCCTGGCCGCGTCGTGTTTCCATCGCTCATCACCTCCACCTTCCAGTCCCATATCCTCGACTCGTCCTCTTCAATCTTCAATCCGGAGTTCTTGTCTCTCTTTTCTCGTTGGTTCGTCGCAGTTGCATTTCCCGCTCTCATCCCCCCGCCCTTTCACTCCTCCCCACCCGCCACTTCCAAACTATCTTCCCGGCGGTCCACGTTCCTAGTCTAGGTATCCCTCCCGTCCTCCCCTCCCATCCTCCCCGCTGTGTGTCAGGCCGCGGTGAAGGTCTCCCTTCCACGTTGTGCGTTGGTCGGCGTCTCTCTACACTATTCTCGCGCTCATTCTCTTCACTCCGCTCTCACGCTCTCGCTCGCTCTCACAGTTTGTATTCGCTCTTACAGTTTGTATTCGCTCTCACTTTTTTTTTTTTTTTTTTTTTTTTTTTTTTTTTTTTTTTTTTTTGCTAAAACACACCCCACTGGGGTGCTAGTGTGTATTCATACTGGAAAAATAAAAATCAAATGAGCTTTTGCCCTTTTGCTCCACACGAGATTTCTGTTCTATGGCAAGAGTCCGAGTGGTTAGGACACCGGCTAGATAAGGTTGCGGGTTCAAATCCACTTCCTTGTGCATAGGTTGTCGTTTCACGCTCTCATACCGCACAGCCATTCACACACCGGTTGCTGTGGGTTGGAGTCGGTGTTGGGGGGATCGAGTCCCAGCTGCAGTCTGTTCCTGGGGGGTGGGTTTACGCTGTCGATGTGGAAAGTGTTGGGATAACGCGCTGATGGCGCGCATGTGGTGGATTTCGTGTGGGCACGAAATAACCGTGCACGATGTGAGGGATTGAGGACCCTGACAAAAAATACGGGGTCACGGAGGTGGAAACTGCGTCAGCTTGTGGGGGCCGTCACCGCCTGGGGGCTTTACCGGAAAAATTCCTGAAAAAATCAGGTCCATCGTAGGGGGGAGGTAGCTAGTAGGAGTAGGCTAGCCTCGGGAGGGGGTGCCTTAAATGGGTTCTTCCATACCAGGGATAGGCACCACGGGGATATGGGGTGCGACTTGGGTGGGACATGCCTCCCTGCACAAAATATCTCTGTGGCCGTCTCCAACCTGCACAACCTTTAAAAAAAAAAAAAAAAAAAAAAACTTTGAGAGTGTGGGTGGCGGATGGCCTAGTGGTTAGGGCACTGATTGAAAATACGCATTGTGGTCTGAGGTTGCGGGTTCAAATCCGCAGCCTCGCGCATATGCAATCGGTAAGGCGTTAGGTTGACGCACTACCACCCACACACTGAGCGCGCGTGCGATCGGGGGGCACGGATGTTTAGGCCTGCATAGACCTGACCATGGGACCCGTAAGGGAAGCCCAGCAGGTACTAGCCCTGCACATTCCTGGGTCCTCCAGAACGATTGCGTGCGCCTCCCCTTGGAGTTGTCGAGGCCATGGGGGGGGAGTGGCTCCGGGAGGGGCAGGCTCGGTTGGGGGTCACCCCTCTCCTAGCAGAGGCTGGCGCTTCCCTGTGGCAACACGGTGACTGTGGTGCGAAAAAACCTCCCAGCCGAGGAGCTGTAGGGAGGTGAAGCCCTGAGTTAGAGATGGGTGACCCCTGGCGCAGCGGCCTGGTAGCGCCGGTCTGGGCTGATACTCCCGGGTGGGTAGCGATGATTGAGAGTTCTCCCCTTGACAGATCACTGGGTAGTGGGTGGGCCAATTGCACCGTCAGTAGGGCTGACCCCCGCGCGGGAAGCCCTCTTGCGGACATCCTCCCTGGGTCATAACACCTGACACCTCTACAACCCTTTAAAAAAAAAAAAAAATTGTGAGAGCATGACCTATCGATCCTTTAGCATTCCAGGACTTGAAGCTAGAGGTGTCAGAAACGTTACCACAGGGATAACTGGCTTGTGACAGCCAAGCGTTCATAGCGACGTTGCTTTTTTATCCTTTGATGTCGGCTCGTCCTATCATTGTAAAGCTGAATTCCCCAAGTGTTGGATTGTTCACCCACCAACGGGGAACGTGAGTTGGGTTTGGACCGTCATGAGACAGGTTAGTTTTACCCTACTGATGCACCGCCGTCGCAATGGTAATCCAACCCAGTACGAGAGGAACCGTTGGTTCGCACNTGAGACAGGTTAGTTTTACCCTACTGATGCACCGCCGTCGCAATGGTAATCCAACCCAGTACGAGAGGAACCGTTGGTTCGCACAATTGGCAATTGTGCTTGGCTGAAAAGCCAGCGGTGCAAAGCTATCGTGCATGTGATTATGACTGAATGCCTCTAAGTCAGAATATGTGCTTGCAGCGACGGCGTATGCCTCCTCGGATGACACAAGGTTGTCGATAGGGCCAGCCCGTCTGGCCCCGAAAGCATAAGTTCGGAGTTGTCCCTCCAGCGGCGGAGCACCGACTCTCTGGGGGTCTCTTCATCGCAATTTCTTTCGCTCGGGGAGTCAAACCCTTTGCAGCCGACTTAGCCAGGGAACGGGGTGTTGTAAGCAGTAGAGTGGCCTTGTCGTCGGCCCTTTGTTCCAAAAGTTTCCCCCACCATCTGGCTCCCCACCCCTCCTCAAATGTTTGAACGACGGTCATCCGCGT